GGGCCCGCTCCTCCGGGGCCGTGCCCGCGGGGTTCCGCGGCTTGTCCGCCAAGGCCGGGCTGCAGCCGCGGCTGCCCGAGCACCGCAGCCTCCGGGCGCGCTCCGCTGCTGCCCAGGGCTCGGGGGTCGGCCCCTTCCCCTGGCAGCCTTCAGAGCTGCCTCAGAATTCCCTTCGGTTTGGCAATCTGACGCGTCCTGCTTGCCCCAGGCAGCTCCCATATTGCAATATCATATTTTAATTAGAAGAAAAATTATGTGTTGCATGCTTGAATTAAATTAAATTGCGTATTTATATTTATAAGACACAGTATTGGCAGGCTTTAAACGCTATATGAATTGAAGAACCAGAATACAGGTGTATTATAGTGATTTGTAGCTGAAACATTTGCTAGAAATGCACACAAAGCAGAGCAGTACCAAATGCTAATTTAATACCCTAAGACAACACTGTGCTCTTGCAAGCACAATTTCCTATATTCCATGTTAGCATTTATCCCCTTTCATTATGAAAAGGTATTAAGAACCTTTGTTACAAACAAGCAACATAAAAAATATGTCATACCACTTCACAACTACTAATGAATAATATCATTTAAAACAGACTGGGAAATAAACTAGTATAACACATTCTACTCTACTAGTACTATAAATATTCGCAAGGTTGTTATTAAAGATAAATGCACACAGTAATTTTCTACTTGTAGGTTTTACAGGTATAATTTTGAATCATACAATATTTTTTTAAAACACATCACGAGGATGGAAACCAACAAAAAGACTGACTGGCAGCAATTCCTTGTGATCAATAGCTGACGTCTCCATCTATCTTTGAGGGCCCACATAAATTATATCGTGGCAGTATGAACCTTCAAGAGGAGTGATGTGATTAACTTGTTCAGGGTCACAGCGGGGAGGATTTTACACCTGTGGCGTTGCTGTTCTGCGGCCACATTTGCAGGATACATTCTGCAGGTGCCAGCGGCTGCCCTGGGGGAAGGAGGGCTGTGGACAGGCCAGCCTCAGGTCCCTGTTCCCGAGGGGCAGCTCAGTGTCTCCTCGCTGAGATCTGAAGCTGAGAGCTCTGTTTCACAGCAGGTGAGGTACGAATGTACAGGTCTGTGCTCAGCCTGAGTCTCCCTGGGAAATGCTGGTGCAGTTGCAGCCGTGGCTGCCCCAACCTGCCCTTCCCAGACCACAGCAGCCTCCGCTCCAGGCCTTGGAAAGCAGACAAAAAGCCCCCTCCTCTGCTGCTCCCCTAGAGCTACAAATAATAGACTTCTCTTTCCTGGCAGCTGCAGAGAAAACCACAGATATTTTTTCCTGTTTTGTTCAGCAAGTATAAGCTGTAAGTTAAAGCCCAATATCTTTAGATACCTCAACAAAAGAGGACAAAAAGGGAATCCACACTTAAAGAGGATAATTCCTCGGGGGCTCTGACAAGAGATGGCTATGTGCCAGGGAAGGTGGTGGGAGAATAAGCCTCTTTGCAGGATTCTGGGATGTCTATTGCTGAACTGCTTCAACTCACTTGAACTATCTAGAACTCATATTTAATTCTTCTTCTTTCTCTACATGTTCTTACTTTTACCCCAGTCCTCCAAAACCAGATATCATAAGCTGTGAACCCCAGGCCCAATGTGCCTTAATGTTACCCCATGAAACAATACTGGCAGGACAATTTATTTCTGCTCAAAACAATTTCCCCGTCCTAAAATTGTGATTGTTAGGTTAGCATCCCATTGAGATGAGAAAAGGAAAGAGCTGCACTTTCAGGTTGTGCCTAAAATTTTAAGGAAGGCAAGCTGCACTGATTTATCCTTGGCATACTGTTTTATACCCATAAGCACAAAAAACTTCTCTTTAGTGGCAGATTAAATTGTGCAGAAATGGACTGACACTGAGAAGACAAACACTTCAGCCTGCTTAAACAGGCTGACTTGCACATCAAAGGCTACCTGGCCACAAAAATATAAGTGTGTACACACTTGGTTTATTTGATTTCATAAGCAACTGTATATTTAAAACACATGTAGAGATCTAAAAAAAATTGGCATCTAATTATATCTTTATAATTGATAGATTTGCAAAGAATTTGTGATTTAGATTATATTCATTTCCAGGAAACTTGCTTAGAAAGTAATTAAATGTATTTTATCCATTAATTCTCTCTTTGTTGTTTTGCATTGTGCTACAGAAACAAAACTAAAAACTATCGAATGGAAGGATTTTTTTTTTAAACTGAATATTATAAATGAATAGAGCCAGGGATGTTAATGTTTGTCATTTTCCTTATCTGTACACATGAATATGTTATATGCTCATTTCCATTGCAAATGGAACAACAGAATGATCATTGCAAACTGAAATATACTGTACATTTCATTTCTTCATTTCTTTGAAAATACCAGTGATAAAAATAACCAATTGCTAGTATTCTTTTTGTAAAGCTCTGCATCTCAATGAAAATTGAAGGAATTAATGGTGTCCATCTGGAATAAAGTATGCAGTGTGTTCTGGAGGGTCATCGTTATTCACTGCTGAAACAAAGTCAGCCTATGGAGCCCTGAACCATGACTGGACAATTGTGCAAGGCACTGTACAAAACATGTAGTCATCCTGTTTCTTGCACACCTCTCCTGCACCTTGCTCACAATTAATGAAACAAAAAGATGTATCATAGTTACATTAGTGAGGAAATACTGAAGAAGGAAAAGAACTTTTGAGGTAAAAGACAAGCTTGTCACAAGAACAAATCTGAATAATATGTTGGTGGTGTAGTTAAAGTCACTATTGAGGTTTCTATCCATCTGATCAGTGAGGTACTGGAGTAGCATTCCTGTAGGAGACATGGGGCACAAGAAACCTCTTGAGGTTAAGAGAGTTAAGAAAATAATCAGTCTCTTTGAGTTTTTTAGCTTTCTACTACTCTGTGTTTACTTTGCAAAGTACAGTAATGTCTCCTTCTCATTTGGTCCCAGAGATTAAGAAAATACAGTGAGAGTAATGCCTAGCCCAAAGTATTTTTTTTATCATAGACAAGATAACCAAGGGAAGGAAGATCTGTAAGTGCAAGCATCAACTCTCAGCTCAAAATGACATCTGAAGATACAGTGAAAAAAAACACCGAGGCAGGCAGGAGGACTGGTGCTTTTCACAGAATGATGAGGCTCTGTGGGACAGAAAACAAAAAGTATGTAGAATAAATAGGAAGGAATAAAGCCATACGATGAATATAGGACAGGAAGGCAAACTGCATCCTGCTGAATGGAGTGGGACTGACACCCATGTACTCTTGGTTTTACTGCTAACGGGACACCGGGTCACATCCTGAAAACCCTTACTTATGCAAGTAATCCCACTAAAATCAATGGGAACCATGACTGTAATGACTGCTTCCATGTCTCCACTAGGGATTGCAAGGTCAGGTGCATTTTCTGTGCAATATTGGATGAATGCTAGAAAATCAATATCTCTATTGAGACTTCTTCTTTTGGAGTAAAAATAAACCTGCACCATTTTGAGTTCAAATGTTCATTGTTCCTGGGTGGTTTTCTAAATTCCTTTTGAAAGCAAAACGGTCAAATCAAAATGGAGTGAAATGCTCATCTTTTTGGTATGTTTTACAGCTTGTTGTTACACCTAGCTTTGTAATGCCATGAAGGTTAAAGGCAACTTCATAGTTTCTTTGTATTTAATCTTTATCTGTTAAAAGAGACATTTTAATTTTAGCATTTCCCTCTATTCAAATGAGTCAGGGCTGAGGATAAGTGGGGAGAAAGAGAATGTCAGAGGAGAATGTCAGAGTCTATTATTTTAGGGAATTTTGTTATTTGATGGAAAACTTTTTGGTCTTTTTGCCATAGAAAATTCAAAGGAAGGGTTTTTTTTAGTAAAAAGATTTTGGTGCAGTCATAGAAATAAGGCATTGCTTTGGTAGCATGGAAAAAAACCCTACTCAATTTTTCTCACATTACAGGTTCTTATTATACTTAAATCACTATGGAATACCTTCAACTATAATTTTGTTTAAAATGTCTAAACCTAGTTTGGGTTATCTATTCTTAATTTACTACTAAATTACAATTAAATTTGTAATTGTGTCTAAATTGAATTTTCATACTGAAATATGTTACATTCCTTTGTTTGATTCCCTTATACTTCAATTGTCGTGGGTCAAAAGGAAATTATGATTAATCCAAAGCATACAAATGAACTATTTTAAGGATTTTCTAGTCAAATTATGTTTTTCTGCAAGCCCTTGATGGTTTAAATGAAATTTTAAGATGGATGTCATTATGTTGGATATTTGATCAGCTTCATATCTGGCATGAACAGTGGTTTACAAAAGAAGTAATTTCACAGAAAAATACCAGCTAATTCCTAATATATTAGAAGTGTAATATCCACCAATTAAGAGACTAACAAATAGGAGTTTATGTGCTTTCTTTCAGAGACAGTTCGTTGAAATTTTGAGAAAATACATCCCAAGTCCATTCTGCACCTCATGCATTCGGTTGACCCAACTCAAATGTTTTTCCCAAGAAATTCCATTCAGCAATAATTAATGGAAAGTTCAGTTGTCTTTCAATCCAGATTGATGGGAATTATGGATGATCAAGAAATAGAAATGCTTTGATGCTCAGGTTTCAGCTAAGGTGATTGTATTTTTTCTGGACCAATACAAAAGTATAGACTTATCCTAGGATTTCAGCTCAGCTGGATTTACCGCCAGGCTGGGGAGAAAATCCAAGAATGTGTTCAGTGCTCAGTCCATTTTACCCACCTCTGCAGGACTTGTTTCCCACCTGCTGTGTGACACATTAGCCATAACTTCTTCCCCTCTTGCACCACTGCACACAGGACTGTGGTTTGGCTCTGTACTGCTAACAACGTTATTGACAAAGCAATGCTGCTCAAGTATAACAACGAGCTGTTGTAGCACTTATTTATGGAATAACGTGCACTTTTCAGATACTCCATGCTTCTGTTGGTTTTGGAGCTGTATTACCCACACAACATATTTAACTAGCACTAACAGCCTAGGAGTACAAAAAACATGTAATTGAAAATCCAGGAGAACAACTGGCACCACTACAGCCACACACAAGCACAGCACAATACTACAGCAAGTAGTACCTGTGCCTTCATGGTGTGCCCTGCTTTACTTCATTACCTGATTTTTATACTATTATTGCAAATGAAGTTAACCCAAACCCTAAAGCAATGGACAACTCTTTACAGTCTGTTTTTTAGCTAACTGTGCTGCCTACATGATAAGACTGAAAATATTCCAGTTCTTGGAAAAGTGTAAAAATTAGGCATCAAAACAGGTCAGATACTTACATATATCTTTTTGATGTGCTCATGTGATAGGATAGCAGATTGATAAAGGACAAAAGAAATGCTAAATATGCACCATGACAAACAGTGAAAAATTAAGTATTGTAACTAACATTAATTACATTCTAGTAAGATGAATAGGCTGCTCATCATTAATGAGAATGTACACCTCTGTCTAAGTTTCACATCTACCTGTGATAAATGTGCTAACAGCGGTAGAATACATCATAGTAACATTTGAATTAACAGCACACTAATAGATTGACATACAAGTATGAATAAAGCATTTAATCATAAACATTATACCACACCCAACAGCAAATTTTCTTTTTTGCATATATATCAAGTAAAATGTATAAACATTACAATTTTATTTCAGTTTATGCTGAGGTAATCTAATGGTTTTATCTCATACTATCCTAATATTTGTAATCCAGTCTATTAGATACTTACATGGTGGCTTTTGGGAGACATTCAGGCAGTTTAATTAAACAGTAAGGGGGATTTCTGAATAGAAAGGGTGGGGCTTAATCTCAGGACAAACTACCCACTGACTCTTGCCCACGTGGCAGGGATGGAACACTCAAACAATCTTCAGGATGGGTTGACTCCTACGCTTATGAAAGGATTACTTTAATTTACTTTTAATGAAAATTGAAGCAGGCCTACTAACCTATGGTTCTTATCTATATCTTCAGTAGCCTTCTCTCCTGTGTCTCCAGTGCCTTTTTCCTGGCCGGGAGGCAGAGGGGTGATTGAGCCAGGCGTGCAGCAGGAATGGCTGACACTGTCTCCTGTGCCTGCAGAGCCCAGAGCTGCAGGCAGCTGGGGACTCCCCATTTCGGAGGATCTGGGACGTGCAGATGCCATGCCATGCCATGCCATGCCATGCCATGCCATGCCATGCCATGCCATGCCATGCCATGCCATGCCATGCCATGCCATGCCATGCCATGCCATATGCCATGCCTTCACAGCAGCCCTAAGGGCAAGTTCCCCAAGGTGACACTGTCTCTGTTCACCCACCCCTTCTGAACGGCTCCTCAGGCACCTGGGCCTGGGAGCCCCTCCTGTTTCTCTGGGAGGGTGACCTTGCAGCATGGCTCCATTCCCTGCTGCCGCCGCTGAGAGCAGGTGGAAATGCCGTGCTCATTGGCTCCGGGACTCAGCCAGGGCTGAGCAGAGGCTCCAGCTGAGGAGCTGCTCGAGGAAGCTGGAAGTGCAGCTCGGATACCCTGCCCCAGCACCGCCCTGCTCTCCCCGGCAGAAGAGACCGAGGTGCCCGAGCGAGCAGTGAGGGATGCTTGGCACAGAGCCAGAGTGCGCCGGCAGCAGCTGGCACAGGGATTCTTCCTCTCAGGGTCAAGGCTCCAAGCACGGCTGGGAAGGGAGAGGGCTGGATTTCACTGCCCAGCTTCTCTCACGCTCTGCTCCCAAAGTCTCCACTTCAATGAAGAGCTTGACAAGCAGAGATGAGGAAGCAGAGCGAAGGAGAACAGGAGGAATCTCTGGCTCAGTAGCAGCAAGCAGGGCTCTGCTACAAGACTAACAAATTGTGTAAAGACCAACTGTAATTCACAGAACAAACATTGTGAATTAGTTAAACATTGCCAAGAGGGAATTGCTTTAGCCTAATAGTTTCCTGAAGATCATTCAAACAGTGCAAGCTCATCAGTGTATTTTTTTTTGCAATTAAGCAGATGGTTTAAAATACTTTAATTACTGCCAGGGCTCACCTAAGCTGCACAGTAGATGACACTGGACTTGTATAGTGCGTAATATAAAATACTGAGCAATATATATGCAATTATATACAATTATTAATATAATGTATGAGTACTCAAGCTCAAGGAATCCATCTTCATGGGCCACAAAAAGGCTCTGCGGGTCAACAAGCCTATGGACACAAGTGAAAAAACGTGTTTGCTGTCATTCTTGCTAAGCACACTATGCCAAGACAGCTTGTGCTGGTGATCTCCTGGGGGAAAGCAAAACAGCATTCCAGGGGGAAGGAAGTTCCCACATGCAGAACAAGGCACGCACACGTGGTCAGAGCACTTAAGTCTAGCTTTTCCCTTCTATCTAAACTGACAGATCTCTCCAGGAGAACTGGAAGTCTTGAAAACTAGCGTAGGGATTTCAAATTGTTTGTATGTTTTATACTGTTCAACTGCAAGATAATACAGTATGTCTGCACTGGTAGCTGCCATACTCACATTGAAAGCATATATTTTCTTCTTTGTTACACTAAATGGTACATTACCTTGCTTTCCTTTGCATTCCAGCTGGCAACTTATTGATTAGGGGAACACTTCTGGGCTTGTCCCTCCTATGTAATAATCTTTATAATTTCACATTTCTAAATGCTAAAAGCACACTAATGCAAGTGGGAAAAGTTTCCTCTGCTATTTCACATACTTAAGGAGAAGATGTTATCGATTCATATGCTTTACTCCAGAAGTGCTTTGCAAAGGCAATAAGTATTATTATTTTCATTTTAGCAAGAAGGAAAATGGCACACAGATTGCCCAAGGTCACCCTGCAGATCAGTGAGGGAACCAGGATTAAATTCAGATATTTTGGGTCTCTGTGCAGAGACTCTTCTGCTGAGCTATTTTTGGAAGCCTCCAAATGAAGCATCGCCATGATACACAACCCATTCTCACAGTCTAAAAGTAATTGATGGCATTCAAAATATTTTTTCTCTAGTATTTTTTAATGGCTCTAACTATGAAGTGAGTTCTTTGCAATAGCAAAAGAAGAGCTGAAAGAAGTCTTAACATTTTGAGCTGAAGAAATTTACAGCAGTTTAACTCCTACCTGCTCCAGGACTCTAATGATGTTAACTCAAGCACTGTGTGCAGCAGCCACTGAAATTTTCTTGCAAAAATTTTGAGTTGAACTCTGGGTCATGGAGACAATCTTCTTTTACAGTTTTAACAATAACTGCAGAAATGTATTCCTTATCAAAATTAATATAGTTTTACAGAAATCCATCTACCTAAAGAAAAAAAAAAAGGAAATGGTGTGTGGAGATAGTAATCAGGCAACAAAATTTGAAGCTTGTGGAAATTTCAATATGGTCCAAAAAACCAGCTTGATAAATCATGAGTCAGTACCAGAAATGGTAAAAGGTTATTCAGAACTGGTTTTCATAAATATTTTGATTATTAGTTTGGATATTTCTCTTGACACTGCTCTTCTTTCCAAACCTTCCCTCTACTGAAGCTTATTGTTACCTGCAAATAAAAGTCTTTCTTTACTAATATATTGTCTCCAACTCTTTTTCCCTATCTCCCTTACAGAAACACATCCTGGAGTATCCTGGAGTTTATCTAGTAAAATCTACAAATTGTATTAGTGGGGGGGAAATTAAATAAGTGACCTTACATGCAAAGAAAGCAAAATTTAGTCACATATTTTGTTATTTTAAATTTTTGTTACAAAGCGAAAAAATGCAGGCTTGTTCTGTGATCACAAGTCTTCTTGGTAATCTAGCAATTTACTAACAACAGCCTCAACAGAGAAAAGGTAACAGAAAATTTTCACTCTACATGCAAACTAGGCAGATATTGAACATCTCAATAATGTATTTTGTAATCATTGTTTTAAATGTCTGTGATCCTGGAGATATTCTGGTTGTTTCAGGATATGAGAAACAATCTCTGGACACAAACAGTAATTAGTTGGACTAATGACTGATTTACTAACATGAACTCCACTTAAAACTTGCAGTACTTAATTTTTGTTATTCACCAGGGACTATTGTTTTTGAGAAATCGATCAATAAGAAATCAAAATGACAAAATTATTTTTAATACATTATTTTGCAGAAGCATAACTTTTCAATGTTTAATCTAAATGAGGTATTAACTCCAGTGGGTCAATCATTAACTGAATTTTAAGCAACAACTTGATTTGTATTATTTTCTTCATGGATCAATAGATCAGTCTTTCAAGTAGTGGCATGAATAATCCCTAGGATAGAATGGATTACTAAACTATTTGTGTGCAATAACTTGGGATAAACGAAAACTCCACCTATGCAGTAGTCAAGATATGATCTTTATACATAGGAGTTTCTGACTTGCTTTGTATTCCTCCATGGGATTTCTGCAGAAAAATACGTGTCCAACACTGCACTGACACTACCTTAAAGCATGCAAGAAGATAGACAGCTGAAATCACATTCTCTTGGGGCATTCAGCAGTTTTATGGTCAGCTATGACTGTTGATTATTTTACTTTTTAATTTGTTACTTCGTGTGGCTATCAACAATTTTCCAGTCACTCCTTTTAATTGAAGACTGAGGTTATATTCTCAAAGAATAGTGACATCTGGATATGTTGAAACCTAAATGTGTTGCCCCACACCCCACTCTCAAACACTCCTACAGCACTAAGGACCAATATCACAAGCCTTTGATTTTCCATTACCCCAAGAAAGACAGAGAAATTCATGAAGTGTATATTAGTATCCACCTCAGAGCTGTCTAGCACATTTTTGTAATTCCCCTGTCCTTTACAGCAGCATCAAATTAAAGAGACAGAGTTAGTATGTTTATATCCTAAACCAGAACAGAATCAGAAATTTTGCAAATATGATGGTAACTGTGTTTTTTTCCTGATGTGTTTTGAACTCTTTCTACCTATACTTTTCAATCATTTAAGTTTAGATAACCTGGGCTAGGCAGTGCAGAGCGGGAGAAGAGAGCAGAGACTGGAGGCTGGAACACAGCCCTGACACTGAAAGTCTGCTAGGCTGTGATTGCAGTATTGCTGCTGGGAACTGTCACAACACCACTCGCAGAAACTGTAACTTCACCCACCTGAAGGCATCCAGTGCGTCATCCTGCCTTGTTCTCAGCCAAACCCATGGGTAGGGCTTCTGCAGTTACGCTGCTCCTGGCAGTTAGAAAAGAAATCCACAATATTTTATCTCCCCGAAAGCTTTTGAAAATGTTTGCATGCTCCCTTTCAGGGATTTGGGGTGCAAAGGAAATGTTTTATCTTTTAGAAAATTTAGTATCTATATGTTAAAGATCTATTTAACATTAATGAAAAAAAGTATTTTTCTCTCCATAACTAGAAGCTACTGATATATAGCAACTGAGAGGCTTTGAAACTTTATTCTCTATTCTGTATCTCATCAGAGCTATTAAAGACTGAAAATTGGAACCTTATGCTGAATAGGTAGGATTCAATCTACCCGTGCCACCTTACCAAGCAAGGCTTCAACTTTAAAATGTGCTGGTGAGTTAAAAGTTCTGAGCCTCAGAACTTGCAAAAGCTGTGAGGAATGCTGTGTTAAAACCGAATCTTTGGTGCCTGACACTATCAGGTACATGAAATTTATCAGCATGATAAGTGTTCCTGCATGCAGTATCAATAGCCATCTTTCTTATGTGATACAAAATTAATCCTTCACTTGAAGCAACTTTCTCTTGGTCACTATATCTTATTTCTTGGTGACAAATGGACAGGATGTGCTACAGAGGAATTCAGCACAAAGGAGATGAGGCAATGTTAACTTGCTGTAAACCTCCCACTGCTTACCTCTTTGGCATTTCAGCACGGCTGTCACCAGCTGCTCAGACGAATTATAAGAATTAGTATTTCCCAAGCCTCAAACAAAGCAAACAGGAGCTTTTTTCCCTTTTCACATATGGGCATTATTTGGAATTGCAGACCTCCAAGGTATGCCAAGAACAGGGTACACTGTTGGGTAGGCACTGGCTTCTCTAAGAATGCCTACTTAAGGTACATTAGAGCAAGTAAGGCTGAGCACTGAGTTCTCAGCCTGTGGTTGCCTGACACAGTCCAGTCCAAACAAGCCTGATAATGACAGCTCTCTTAAGAGCTGTCACAGCATCACATTAATAGTACATATTATACTGAAATTTCTGAAGCTTCTTTGGAAAAAGATTTTCTCTGGCACCCATCTGAGGAATCTGTTTTTTTGACATACATCTTGGAGCCTTTATACTTCCTAAAAACATACTGACATTTAAGAAGTGTATTCTTTGGCAATATTTAAATATGTCACATTTTGCAGAAGTAAGATGGTAAAGGTGCTTGCAATTCACTTGGGAGCAATTTCTGAATTTGACAAAATCCTGCTATTTCTGTGATCTTTGATATTTTCTTGAAATAGCACTAGAAAACCTATGTCTAGCAATAAAACCCCATTTAGTTGGACTGTTCAAATAAATCACATTTCTTAAATGTGCTCACAACATTTTTTTCAATTACCTTCTCCCCATATATATTTGAGATTTCCCAGCCTCAGTCCTCTGGACTTTCCCCCACGGAGATAGACCCAAGGCTCCACAGTGCTGCATCTTACTGGTTATAGCTTGAGTAGGTTCAGGAAAGTTCCCAAATCCACCAGGTTTACCTTAAAGCTGACAAGATTACAAAGCTCAGTTGTAAGAACTATAGAACCAGAACTTCCAAGTGAGGCAAAAAACATCTGATAATTCTACCAAAGAGCAAGAAAGAGAGACACATTACTGTATTTAAAATATTTAAAGCAGCATTTTCTGCATTAAGAGCATAGTCAGATTTAGTAAGGTCATCTTCAGACTCTTGCTGTTTCTAACTCTTGCCTGACTAGCAACAAACTGGAAAATATCACACTTCCATTTTCACACCCATTGCAGTCATGCTGCATGGCAAAAAATCATTAGAAATGATGGATTCAGAGCCCAGTGCAACCAACATATTTACAACCTAGTCCAACTCGGGAAACTCGTCAAACTCACACAGGTGCAAGTGACAACCTATTTAACACTTGATTTAAATGTCCTATTAAATCTTATTTATTAAAGACTTATTAAATATGCTATACTTCTAGCTCTGAAGGATACCTTTTCTATATGAAAGATTTCTGAGTAGTCTGTGCACTTAAATAAAAAAATAATTCTGATGTGTTAAAGTGCAAGTGTCTTCCTTCTAGGGAAAATTGAGGCATACAAAGTGTCCATCCAATAGGATGATTTTATGTATATCTGTAAATGAACATGTTACTTGTTAATGCAATGATGCTGGTATGTGAAATCCATCGCATTCTGGCTTCTCTAATATTTTGCATTTCTCATTTCCATTAACACCCTGTGAACATGCAGCCCTAAAGGACAGAGCAGTGCTATGAGGATGGCTGTCAATGCTGGCATCAGGACTGCTAACAAATGCCTGGCACTTCAATCAAAGGCAAGGCATGCGCTGGACAGATGAACCAATGGGAATTGATTCCCAACCAGATGCTGTGCCAAATCACTTGAATTTCTGCCCAGTAGTAATTGTGCAAAAGCTGGAAGTTTGGATGCACATCCCTCATTGTGACTATGGTCATACTAAAAAGGGTGAATTAAATCAATACAAAGCTGCTTTCAGTTGGATGTGAGGGCTAACAGGAATGTGTTCCAGTTCAAAGCAGGGGAGCAGACAGTGACACTTGTTACTAAACAGTGGCTGGCAAACACGGCACGAAGAATAGACCTGGGACAGCAGTCTCTGTGTTGATGGGATATGTACCACTGAGGGAGGAAATCAAGAATGTACCGTTTTCAAGGTTCCTCGTCTTTTTTGGCAGCAAAGGTAGAGCTGGGGGAAAGGAGTGAGGGGACACAGCACCACAGCACAGAGAAGCAGTATGCTCTATTCTCTGCTTAACCTTTAATGTAAAGAGAGTAGATATTGATGGTGTAGATTCTTCTGTAAATCAGTCCAAAGAAACAGGCTTTGTTGGTACAATGTTACTTTAAAATTGCTTACCTTTAGCTTTATTTGGGGTACAAAGTTGAGGCCCTGTCCCTGACCTCATGTCTCTGATACAGAGGTAGACTTGCCTTTGTGACCTCTTCTATCAGTCATGAAGGAACAGAGCAGACTATCTTGTTCTGAAGTGCAGCCTTAGAAAATAAACATATATCCACAGGTATTCATAGAGCAGAAATTCCTGATAAATGTGTCTACTCCAAATATCACCTAAAACCTGCAGCCAGGCTGGCTTTGAATTTGGAGATATTCACTTTTATATCTGTTCTGAGCAGTCATCATCTCCCAGAAAACAGAACAAAGAGGATGAAAGCATTGATCCTGCAACTCCCCTCCCAGATAGATACAGCTTGAGCTACTCCAGCATTAATGAATAAATCACCACCTATATATAAGTATGTGTATGTAGATGTAAATATTGTATTATGGAGGTTTATATATACTCCAGCCTATTTATATTTCTGTCACACAAGGCATCAGCTCAGTTCCATTTTATATGGATGTTTGCCCTGGGTTTGGCTGGGACAGAGTTAATTTTCTTACTAGCAGCTGGTACAGCAGCGTGTTTTGGATTTACTATAGAATTCTTGTTGACAACACACTGATGTTTTGGTTGCTAAGTAATGCTTACCCTAAGTCAAGGACTTTTCGGTGTCTCATGCTCTGCCAGAGAGGAGCTGCACAAGGAGCTGGGGGGCATGGCCAGGGCAGGTGACCTGAACTGGTCAAAGGGATATCCCATGGCACAGAATGTCACGGACAGTGAATAAACAGGGGGAGCTGGATGTGAGGGCCTGATCACTGCTGGAGATGGGCTGGGTTTCAGAAGGCGGGGAGCCAGTGTATGGGGCATCACTTGCATTTCTTGGGGTTTTTCCTCTGTCCTTTTCCTTTTTATTGTTACATTTTAAAGTATTTAAATTATTAAACTATTCTTACCTCAACCCACAGGTTTTACCTTTTTTCTGATTCCCCTCCCTGTTCTGCCGTGAGGAGGCAGGAGTGGAGGGAAGGGGATGGGTGAGTGTCTGTATAGAACTTAATTGTGGAACTGAGTTAAACTAGGACAATGTTAATAGACAGATATAAGTTCTTCATTGATGTCTGTGCTTCACTGATATCTGTGATGACTTTTCCTTTACCAAGCTTTTCTGTGTACTATCTCATTTTGTCAATCTGCACCTTGGTGTCTTTGTTTCTCAGATGAAGTTCTCTCTCTCAAACAGCAAGCTTAGACCTCAGCTCTTCCACCTAAATTACGGAAGAGAATTGGTAATTAAGTTTTAACAAGATTTAAATGATATTAAAACCAGACAGTTAAAGGGAGACACTGCCTTGGGCTTTGTTGTAAATTTGTATAATTATTTTTAGTTCTCTGGAGGATGCATGATTATGTTTCTGTATTTATAAAAATACTGCCCTGGAGGCATGAAAATGAATTTTATAGTCCACTGATTTGCATATTAATGTCAGTCTTATGGTGTCAAATGTATTTTTTAGCAAATAAATGTCCATGACAATTATCTAAATTTCCAAAGAATTTTATAATATATTTGACCTGGATTAATTAATTTTTTAAAATAAAGACAAAATAAGAAAGCCAGTACAGCAGAATGATAAATATATAGGGGAGGAATGGACCAGATGAACTAAACAAAACAAGTATGGATTTTTAACTATTAATTATAATAGTTTTGGTACATTAGCATTAAGTGCTGACTCAGGTTCTGATCCAAATCTCTTTAAAGTCTCTTGGTCTGTAGATTTTTGACAATACATTTCTGTATGTTTGCCCTCCTACAGAAACATAATCACTGGGAAAATCATTCTCTAGATCAAGCATCCTTGTATACTTTTCAGACTGAGAATAAAAAAACGGACAAAATATGTTAGTTGCTACAGCCCAAAATCATAATAAGGAGCTGGAACAGTAATGTTCAAAGCTTGTATCACAGGTAGAGCAAAAGCTATGGCTTTATGGTGGAAGCATGGAAGTAAAGCCATCTCTTCCATGCTGCTACGTACAGGAAGCTGTAGTTAGGTTAAAGTTTGTTCTTCTCATCTAAAAATCTGCCCTGAAAAATCCTGATAAATTCACAGTTGCTATAATCCCTAATTTGTCTTGCATTTCATTATTTTTAAGAGGCCTTTTAATACAGATATCCTGCGCTTTAAGTGCCAAGTAAAGCTATAGGCTTTTGAAGCTTGTCCAGACAATACAGAACAACAGTATCAACATTGTACTAGAGCAGAATCTAGTCTTGTTACATATATGTATACAAAATTCACACCAGCATTCAGTCAAAAGACAATGAACTCAATAGGAAATTTCTTTGTGCATGGATGGAAAAATTACCATTATAGTTAATAGTAATCCATTTTGATATCAAGATAAATCCATTGGCCTTGCAGTTTATCTCCCCATGGAACTAATGTATTGTCAGCTGAAATAATGTGTTATTATCAGTACAATAATTATCATTGTAATAATCTCAAACAATTATTTGGATTAGGAACCTGTCATATTGTCCAAGTTTATGAGGAGAGCTAAATACAAGTTTTGTGGCTGTAGATTGTAGAGATGCTCCTTGTGTGCCAAAAACTAAGAGAAGGTGCCGTCTTAGTGACTAACAGTAGCAGATAAGGTGTGTTTTACAAAAATGATCAAATGCCAGTCAACTGCTGGCTCAGGGAAACACTTGTTAGGCCATAAATAAGCTGATTGCATGTTCAGAGTTACAGTTTCCATAAAGTCTATTTCAAGGAAATATTTAATAATCTATTTAATAATCATTACTTAAATGTGACAAAATGTTGTCACAGAGGGAACATACACCTGACATTCTCCACTAGTCCCTTGCAAACCTAACTCCTGATATATAATCTTTTCTCCCTAGCCAGAATATTTTAAAATAAAGCAAAAATACTTTAAATATAGAAACGAAATACAAATAAAATAAAAGCCATCAAGACTGAGCAAAATGTTTCTGTGATGCTTCGATATTGATGGCAAATCATGTATATAATCTTGGGAATGAAACAAGGTAGTCTGAAGAAGCAAGCACAGAAAATTCTTGTTTTTTGTTTTTTTTTTTAATCTAAGAAATCTTTGGTAGATTATTGAGATCTTTTGCACTTGGAATTTGGCACCCATAATCTATTTTGTACCTAGAACTGCAGGAACTGCAGATATGATTTTACAGAACTTGTGCAAAGTGCTAAGCACTGGCTTTGAGATGAATGGCAGGCAGGGGTGGAAAACCCCCAGCTCCCTGGAGTACCAAAGATGAAGAGAGCAACTGAAGTAGATGGATCAGACATGAGCACACAATCTCTACCCAACCCTGTATGGAGTCTGCCAGGCAAGGCTCCTCTTCAAAAATCCCTGATCAAATCTGAGCTCGCAAAGTTCTGTGCATATGGACCTCTCTGTATATGAGACTGGAATCTTTTGGACTTAGAATCACATGTCACAAGACCATATTTAATGTCTTGTAGTTATGAGTTAGAATAATTGACTATGGGCAGAAAAGTGTACTTATTGTTAATAAAATAGAATTACTTTTTATTTGCAGTACAAACTATCCATAAATAAAAAGTAAAACTTGAGTGTAGGACCTATTTATTTTCAAGGGTTTGCCAAAAATATAATGCTGCTTATATATGCAAAATTATAAACAGTATTGCATTTAACAAATGAGTATGTAAAAGAGCTACAGTAGAGATGTAACTCAGGATTTTAAAATATTATCTTCCAGTTTTTCTGTTTTCCCATGGTTAGTTTAGGGTTAAAAATAAATTCAGAGGAAATACTTTTACACATACACAATTTGCTTCATAAAAGAGATAAAGTTTTGTAGGCAAATATTCAGAATTGCTATCTGTTCCAATAATTTTCTTTTTAACTGGGGTCAATGACTGTTTGGCCTGACTCTGTGTGTGTGTGGCAGGTGAAAGATAAACAAAGAAGGGATGAAGAGATAGAAAGGCCAAAAGAGCCTTTCTTGCCTTCAGTCAATCTGCAGGAAAAGTCAATCACCACTGCAGTGCTCTGGGCCACCCCATTCTGTCCCTTTAGGATGCAATACTCCCAAAAAAAGGCCATTCTTGTCTGTGCCATTGCCATGGATGAGCTTAGTTCACTAAAAGAGTAGCATCCAAGTAGTTCTGACAGTACCCTGGGATGAGGAGGAATCCCAGATATTTGAATGTGTTGAGCCAATATAATTCTGCCCTATCCCCTGTTCTAAGTTGCTTGGTTTGTGAAGTGTTTAGTTGTAAGAAGAGTGAAGGTAAAACTGCTGCTAGGGTTACCTTTGCTCTGCACAAAACCAGTACCATATAGAGGCACTGGAAATCAGACAGCAGTGAGTAGCTGTGTAGCCTCATAGCTCATGTGTTTCTACCATAGAAAGCTGATTTATTACCAACATCCTGTTCCAGGAGTTTGCAGCCCCATTTCATACTTTGAATGCCTCATTATACAGAATCTGCACCTCTGGACTCTTCCTTTTCTGGGTGGTGTCATTTTGAAGTAATACATTATCAGTTTCCCTCAGCTGGTGATGCATTACGAGAACACATCAGAAAAACAGCTGGCTCAGTCTCTCAATCCTTAGCGTCCAGCAACTGCTGCCTGTCATGATATATTACATGAACTCTTCAGTCTATCATTGTAATACATCAAAGCAATACTGGTCTGAAGGTGTATTACTCAAAGAAAGGCAAAGCTGAGTGAACCTGTCCAGGAGAGGGGTTCTGGTTTAATTATAGAACAGAAGTTACAGTACGCTGCTCAGAGGTTTGTTAGCTTTAAATTTTTGATACATTGGTAAAACACATTTTTCATTCATATAATTTGTACTATAGGTGAAGGTCACAATGCTACTCAGTTTGGAGACAACCTCAACAAACAGTTCTGTCATCACACTGAAATGTGCTCTTCATAAGCGAGGCTGCACATATGAGTCATGCAGGATTTGAGTTCAACTGTAGTCCCTGATTGCTATTCTTTCATTTCTTGGTGGAAATCCCAAATCTCAAATATCCCCTGATATTTGAGAGCATCTCACCAGTGAGTTCTCACTGTTCTTTCACTTGATGGCACTCAGCAGGTTCCAGGTGATGGTGTGAGTCTGCAGAAAGGCAGCAGCAGATAACAGGGCCTGAGGCATTGTCAGGGAAAGAGCTGGAGCTGAAAAAAATGAAAAAAAAACAGAAAGTGAGAGAGTAATCTACAAATAAATATAAAATATTTAGTCAAACTTTTTCATAAGAGTTTAATTTACTGTGGCTACTTATATCAGACTTCACCTTGATAGATGAGCAAGACTCTCCCATTGATCAGGACTGCAAACTTGGCATACGAATATCCTAGGCTGTAAAACTGAAGAAAATTTTTTTCCCTCCTCTTGGGTCAGAAGGGGTGGCTACATTTCTCTCTTCATTTAACCAGGGCTTCTATTCTGTCCAAAACACAGGAAATGGTCCCAAAATATTCCCTCTGGATTGGGTTCACACAGAGACTTGGAGTAAGAGCTGCATTTTTCACCTGCAAACCCATGGATGACAGACAGGATATGGTATCAAGTACAACCAGTTAGAACTAAGACAGTGAAAAGTTCACTTGCCTGTAATGCACAAGTATTATTTCCCAGTAATTTTTCAAAGACTCAGCTGCCTAACCATTTTTCTACCTATCTCAAGGTCCAGCTTCTTTATAATGGGGCTCAGGATAGCTCCTTCAGTGTATGACACTGACTTCACATTCCAGTTTTATTGGTGCTGCTGCAATATTAACCCCCATGGTCCCTTCCTTCTGTCTGTCATGCTGCTATATGCTCAGTAATGCCCTGAGAACCGAATATTTTCCTGATGAAAATTCCTGCAACTTTACTGAAGTCCCTTTCTATCCAGTTTCTCTAACTCAAAGTAAACTTTGGTGGGTTTGATGCTGATAAACGTTATAAAACCAGTGTGTAATATGGCATTACTTCAATTTGTGTCTTTTTTTCTTTCTCAGCTATACTTCATTGCTCTAACATAGAATATTTTAGTTGGAGAAGACTTATAAAAATAATCTAGTAGATCTAAATACAGAAAAAGCTTTTTTCAGTGAGAGCTGCTGCATCTGAGTGTACATTCCTAGCAGAATAAAACCCCCAGAATGTAACTTTATGGTGAATTAGGAAACTGAGGGCCATACATTTTTCTGCTCATGTTTCTGTTCAGTAGAAGTGGCAAATACAACAGCAAATATCTAATGTTCTTAGGAGATAATTGAGAACATAAGGTGATCTGAGATGGAGAAAATGGACAGCTGTTTGTTTAGATAGCATAGTATATTATAAGAATCATGAATCAAAGACATACCTGAGAATGAGCGTTTCACCAATATGTTGCATTCGTCTGAACAATTTTAGCTTCTTGTTAATGTTTAAAAGAAGATCTAAAAAGTCCTTATTTACAAGAGAGATGGTTCACACTGATATGTGTGACAAGGGCCCCCGACTAAAACACGCAGCAAGAACAGATTAAAAACATGATCAGTGATGAGAATACATAGGGTTGTTACACACACTTTTGTACACCTTGAAAAGGATTCAGTATGTCATAGGTTTAGTTGTGAATGGGGCTGATGTGTCCTTTGCTGCAGTATCTTGCTGTATGGCTGTTGTGGGAGGGTGTGTGAACAATAAGGACAATAGAGACACAGGATGACGCGTAAACACCGGTAACAAAATAGCAGGAAGGAGCAGAATTAATTAATGGGTGATATCCTGTCGCTCTATTGGGAACAATGAGAAGAACACACAGAATCTCTTGTGGAGTCAAACTGGAGAATTTCTCCCCATTTATTACCTCAGATCTTCTTTTATAGACTGATATGTGAAAAGTACTGAAAAGAAAAACCCTTATTGGTTAGTAAACTAACACATCACCATCATTGCTCAGTGGTGTACACCACCCCTCGACCTTCTCTTGCAAGAAAACAAGGAACAGACAAACAGCACCTGCAAGGCTGTTTTCTATCTCTGAGGATTGTTTTAATTCCTCCTTATGATTTCCCACACCACTTTCTCAGGCAAGACTGAGAAAGTTATGCGGCCTGCTATTCCACAGGCACTGTGCTGCCTGCTTCATAGTTAGGATCCATAATATCCCATAAGGATATCTTGATGAGGGGACAGGTGAGACAGCTGTGGAGATAAAGAACGCCTCTGTAAAGAGATCTTCTTTCACCAGCTTTCTGTTTTTTTAAGTATATAAGTCTTGAAGAATTCATCTTTTCAGTAAAATGTGAAACAGCAGATCCATAGCAACATGGCTGGCTGAGGCATGTGCCCTCTTTGTCACATGATATGGGAAATATTGTGGGAAAACTTCCAAGTTTCCAAGTTTTCCAAAACTTCCAAGTCCAAACTCCTTACTGACACAGTGAATCCATTTGTCCCAGATGAGAACATGGATATTGTCACAGGAATACAGCAAGATAAGTACGGTATAAGAATCAGAAATGCTATGCCATTGGCCATTTTCCAGTGTCATTTTCTTGGTACTGAAAGCAGAGTAATCAGAAAATAAGAATGAAATACTGTTTCTTTCAAGGAAAATCAGCAGATTAAGAATTTATCTCTGGTAGCACTTGGAGTATGTATCTGTCTTCAGTGGGTATATACTGTGTAACTGAGCTGTACATACTGGTATACGCTGAGCTGTGTAACTACTTGTGATTTATTTACTGAAAGGAACGGGTTTAGCAGCAGTAAAGCAGTCCATAATGACCCAATCTAGTATCAAAGTATCTATGTTGAGTCACTTCAGCTTTCCTTAGACCTAAGACACAAAAGGACAGGAGAGCTTTTGGAAGAATAAATTCACTGCTCTACTTCTCTGTCTGGGGGATATTACCAAAGTAAGACCTGGACGGATGTTTATTGGGATATATGGAAAAAATAATGTTTCAGTATATTCTTATGTTAACACTCAGCAGCATTTTGAACCTGAAAAAAGTGTACCAGCCAGTCTGTGAACTCCAGGGAAGACTTAACATATACCCATGAATTAAACAAGAAGCTCCTGTATTCTGTTGCAATAGCCAAGGCTAGGTGGCCAGTTAATGACCCCAAGAAACCCAAAAATATAAATTTTCTTTCTTACAATCTTCTGTCTGTTTATTCCAGTTATCTTATGTGACTTCAAGGCACATGTGGTTACTTTCCTAAACTGGTACCTAATACTCCAGGTTTCCTAGAACATAAAAATTTTCTGCTTCCAAGCATGTCCCTACCAACAGAGGGATAAAAATTGTGGTTGTTGTATGCACCTGTTCACACATAATGTATAAATAAATCCATTTCAGTAAGCTGAATGAACCTATTTCTCAGCCCAGGGCACACCCACACTGTAGGTAATTTTTATAAGATGCACATGGAAATCAAAGAATCAAACCCCAGAAATGCTCATGCAACTGAATTTTGTTCTTTTACTAGTCAGTGAATTCAAGACAAAAATGAGCAAATAAAGATTGGCTACTTTTAGTACCTTCCTTCTTCAAGGAAGTCAGAGCAAGAAACCCTACAGAGAAGATCACTATTTTTTAATTTCACCCAGGAATCTACTTGAAGTTAGTGTAGCACTTGATCCTGGCACTCTGCAATATCAGTGCTTCAGTGTCAATTAGTATCTACACAGCAGAGTTGCTAAGCTGTTCTTCTTCTATGAAAATAATTTCTTGTGTTGACTACACTTATTCCTTTCCTCTTAATTTCTATATTATAAATCATCTTAAGCTTGCCAAGGGTATTATTAATCACTTATTGTTACCTTTTTCAATATATCTTGAAGACCAACATTCCCCAGCCACAAGTGTCAACATATTAAGTACTGTTCAGATATTTGAACATAATATACTGTTTCTAAGTCTTCCGTTGTATTACTAGTAGGATAATTATTACAGCAAATGATAAAATACTGCAAAATTGTTTTCTCCCCCCCTTAATAACATAAATAAAAGAAGCAATTAATTTCCTACAATAAAAACAGGCAATACAATAACGTACAAATGTGGAGTTTCTTCATTATTGCATCAAATTGCAAAACGGAAACATATAATTTCAAAAGGCTCATAAGCAAAAATGGAAACACAGCTGATGTTGCGTCAGCATGTAGCACAAAACTGTGAAGCTTGCACAGCTCACAGCTAGTCTCCTCAAATGAAGCAGCTAACATTTCTAAATGAAAATACAGAACACAAAAAAGCTTTTCCCTTTTTTTGGGAGGCTATGCTTCCAGAATTTAAGGCAATTTTGCAGGATATTACTCTCCATCCAATAGTGTAACCTTATAGCATCACCAGTTATTTTAAAACCTGTCTATCAAACAGACCTACATTTATAGCTTTATTGACACATCTTGTGACAGATGGCAATAATGCTTTCAAATGGAATCAATGTACTTCTAAACTAATACACCTTCCTCTACACCCCATATATTTATCAGATGTGTTTTATACTTCTTTCTGCAGTGGTATTTTGGTTTGTTTGGTTTTAGGTTGCTGAGAAAAGGTAATACATTTTCTTTGACATCTCATGCAATTTTACAAGTATTCAGGGCACATTCCCTGCTTTGCATGGAAAATGTATTTGCACAGTTGTCAGAATGATGGACAAGGGGAGAATGATAGGAAGGAGCACTGATCTTTGCTTGTTATTACATACAATAGCCCAGTAGGAATCATGATGTGTTGGTGAGACAAACTGTGTCCCATTCTGGAACATATTAAGTTTGTCTCCAGGACACACATGACTTCACTAGGGTGTCTAACCTCATTCATAATAGATGCTAATCTTTTCAGGGCTGACTGATGACAGCACTTCCTGCCCTTCACGGAATTAGAGCTGGGTTTTATCAAAGGACTCAAACTGCCTGCTAATTAGACTAATTCCCTTCATCATGAATTATTTATTTCCATTGGTAACCGACCACTGTGACATTAATGGGTTCTGCTCAACTTAGTTTCATACTAATATACACTATAAGTTAAATGTTTAAAAACTCCTGATACTTCACTCCAGGTCAAGTGTATCTCCATGTAACTCTTGATGCTTTCAATAAAGTTTTGGTAATTAAAGACAGAATAAAGTGCTCATTGCTAAGAAAAAGAAAGTAAAGCATAATTTTAAAATTTTGAAATCAAGTTGTTGGTTTGTTGTTTTTTCCCCCCAAATGTGAAGCAATATACACATGTTTAAGACTGATAATAGGAGTCCTCTACCGCATTGAGAGGGTTTCAAGGCAGTTCACCAAACCAGATCCATATCCTCAGCCAGAACATGTAGTACCTCTGTATTCAAAATTCTCACTCAGTTCAAGGAGTTTTTTGTGTTTAGTACCAAAAATACGTTCTTTACTTAGGTAGCAAGTGTCAAATATACAAGTACAAAAAAGAATACTTGGCAGACAGCAGCAGTGCAGGATGAAGAAGACTAAAGGCAGAGTGTGGCCAACACTGAGATGAAACTGGGAAAAACATAAAGCACCATTCTGGGATGTCTCAGCAGCAGAATCTGAGTAGTGTAACAGAGGTCATCTATGCAGTATGTACAAGCTCTCAGCAAGAGAACTAACAGCTGG